TATATTGATGTTACCTGGAAGGGACAAGGACATTCAGTAATAATCAATCAATTTATATTCAGTCGGACAGTGTCATCGATGGATAGTTCCGTGGCTTCCTAATTGAAAGGTACTCGATTCGAATTTCGGCTGGCAAATCGAAAAGTCGTCTAGTGTGTTCTCATCTCCTCCGGGTGAAAATGCTACAGAGATTGCCGCCCTACTTGAAAAGCGGCTACTCATCCCCCTAATTCACTCCTCTTTTACATTCCATATTCATGCTGCCTTGGATAGATCATAGGTTATTCAACGATACTGGATCAGTTGCTGTGATTTACGACTAATTATATTAAATGGTCGGGCTCTGTAAGTTTGAAAATATGGGGGAGGAAGCGGTGCGGTCTGTTTTAAGGTGATTTCCTGAGCATTCATTTGGACTAAGGAAAACCACGAAAACCCACAGGATAGCTGGTTGAACACATCCGTAGTAAAAATCAGTGGTCGTTGCCGCTTCAGCCAACTATTTCGGTGCCTTTCTCAGTCGACAGCATACTATTTCATGTTTAAACGAGATGTTCTGCTGTGTGTCTGGATGAACACGTTGTCATGCGTGTGCTCCGACCGTACGCTTGTTGCTTGTTGCTTTTGAATACTTCCTTGTCTGCCTGGAGACATTGTCTCATTGTATCTGTTCCTTACATACACTCATGCCTTTCTCCCGATTTCTAGTGTCACTTAATACGGCGCACGGCCATTTTTAATGTATGATTCGCAAGAAGCGTCTCTTGCGGCTGGACGATGCAGCGGTCTGCACATGCGCAGTAGCCGCGCTTCGGTTGAATAAGTTCCTACTGCGCATGTGCAGACCGTTGCATCGCGCAGCCGCAAGAGACGCTTCTTGCGAATCATACTTTTACTTGCAGAAACGGTTCGCGATCTTCGATTTACAAGGTGTTCCCCATTTAAAGTTCGTGCATAATAATGTCCTACGCCTCAGTGTCATTACATAAAGCCGAAAAGTTGATCAGAAGTGATAACAATGATCGAGACAATGTGAGGATGCGAATTATTGGGCTATCTTGACGTAAAACATTTTTTACTCTGAACGGTTCTTTCAATGTTTATTGTTCTATTTATGGTGTTTTACGTTTGGGGTTACTGCGTATCTGGAATTTATCCACTGTATAATATTCAACTAGTGTTCTTTTAGACTATTACACGATGGACGAAGTCCAGAAACTTAGAAATCCAGAATAAAAACACGTTCATTGAAATAGAGTTAGCAACACAGCTGGATTCTGGGTAAGTTTTTTGTTATGATGCCAGGATGCGTGCGGTTTAGGGTACCTGTTCAAGGATATGTCCCTAGGGCAATGCCCCTTCCTGAATCATAATGAAACACCTTCCTCTTAATTAGGTAAAAAAAAGTAACATTTATTAATTCAATAACATAATATAATAAGTTTAAGCAAATCTGGTTTGCTCGCAATCACTTCGTCTCTATGCTGAGGTTAATTGGCAGGGCTGTGACAAACCTATCTCTACTTACAGAATACAGCAACTTTCTCGATGGCGAACATGGTGGTGCTCGGTGCGTGCAGAGGTCTGTTGGTCAACCGGCTCCCTATTGCCTGCCGCCTAAGTGTAGCGGTTCCCCCTGGAGGATGGACCGTCTATCTAGCTCGAAGCAGTTATTCTGACTATCAAGAAGAAGTGCTTCCATTTCCGTTGTATAACCCTTAAATACTCTATATTTTCCTCAGGCACATTGTAACAAAATTTACAATTGGACAATCATCCTTCTTTATCGTCTTTTGCTTTCTAAACTAACAAGTGATTGCTTGACACCGTACAGACGTCACAGGATATGTGATTCACCTCCTCATGACATTCGTTCCAAGCTTCAGTTTTAGTAACATTACGAATATTCATCACCACGACGTCCGTTGTTAGCCCTACTATGTAGGGTGTCAATGTGGTCTGAATTCCAGCTTTACTCACTCTGTGTTTTTCCCGTCCACATCCTACATCCTGTGGTCTGGTTACACTTCATACGGTTTGCTTCTATACTCATGTGATTAATTAAATGATTAATAATTGCCAATATACAGTTAATACATATTTCTTAATATCCTTATCTCTTTAACCTAACATCAATATATAGTATATATGTCAGGTGAAGTCGTTTCATAACATCACCCCCACATTTAAGAAAATAAATGGGGTCATTTTCTCATTTCCTTTTCTCATTATCAAATTTTGGCACTCCCTATACATACAGGTTATTTATATCCATATATACAACTCTAATTAGTTATTTCACATTAGTGGTTTTCCGGTTACATATGTGATCTTTCATATAATCACTAGATTTCTCTTAAACGTTCATTAGTGGAGTTCAAATTCGTCCACTGAACACCATGGCTCAACAGCCAATTAATAACACTCCACGTTGCTCAGAATCTTCTGAGCCATCCACTTCATCCAGCAGTTCCCGGACCTGGATGTCTTTGGAAGCGTACCGCCACCGTCATACGGACGACTTCATCCAGTGGGCCTTCACCTGTATGGAGCCTGATGGCCGGCTTGACTCCGGTCCCGTACGTGAATTCAGAATGCCGAGACCCGTCCTCGGGACACGACACGAAGGGGGTAGGTTCTCGTTCAGTTGCAGGCAACTCCATTCCTGCTTCCTCTGGTTCTCCGCCATTTGGGTTGTGTGCTGTAACATTTAATGGCAATACAGTATCTACAGTACTAGCATATTCACTAGAGTGACCAGTGCTCTTTTCCTTCCGTTGGCGAGGTTGGGGTGTAGGGCGTTGCTTTACTGCCCTCCATAACATATTTCTACCCCAGTCTAGTATTGATTTCTTATAATAGCAGCAACTTATAGTGACAAGTAAAATACAAATACTTATTCCAATTATCCAGTACATACTTGTACTAGGTGTGAGTTCTTCCTGACGTAGGTTTCCCAGGACCGGAGTGACACCCAACTCGGTTCGGTCCTTGCTTCCGATGATTCCCTTCACGACGTCGTCTATTTCCTGAAGATGTACTGATGAGTTTAATCGATTCTGCAACAATTCTTGTTCATTTGGCTTTATTATGGTCTCAATACTTTGTAAAAGAACGTAAGTTTTATTCAATCCGACCACACTTCTTCCTAACGAAAGGGGTAACAGCTTAAAGGTTTCAGCGTACCACGTCGAGGTGTTTGGTAAAATACCGTATCCATTTAGCCATATATCAGCGGTTTCGTCCTCGTCCAAGGGGGATCCACCTAGGGGCCTACACTTCAGGGTAATGTGTGTTGATTTCTCTTTGCTGTATACCCAATATTTAGCATCAGGTGACCTTATCCATACAGGTACGAATTCTCTTAAAAGTACTCGTCTACTTTTCTTCATTGCAACTTCAGTTTTCCCTGTGAATAATGCGATCAAACAATTCTCTTCGTTTGACTTTCTTAATACCATGTTCGACGGACATATCGTATAGAAATCAGTAGTACATTTGGCTAACCTTTCAGTAGTTAAAATCGTAAAGAACTGTTGGTCCTTAGTCACAGCTAAATATACAAATGGTTCATCTATCTTCATAAATTGCTGAATTCCCTTATGGAAGAAGGGCAAGGAGTGGGTCTCGTATAACATAAAGGATCTATCTGCGGCCCGCAGCGGTATATCTATGAAAAGTCTATTATTCCTTGAAGCAGCCGTTGCGTGTACTTTCGCTACAGCGTAATATATATACATATCCTCTATGTTTAACCCTGTTAGCATAGATGTGCCCTTTTCTAAATGCAAATTCACTTCCTGCAATAGCTCCGATAAATTATATGGATTCATCAAAGTACTAAGTCCAATGACTCATGTAATTGTATCAAACTAAATTTCATTTCCATCATGAATAATTCTATCTCTCGTATAGCTGTGCTATATTTGGTTTGGTTATCAAATGCGAATTGTACATCAGTTAAGTCTGCTTCGACTCTTCCCAATCCTAACGAAATATTTTGGATCTAATTTCTCAATGTTTTCGCTATGTCCAACGGAGCTTTAGCGTTTGCTTTAGTAGCTTCATCTAACGTGTGTAAATAAGTCATCTGCTGATCTGCGGTACGAATCACCTTCTTCTGGAAAGACTGCAAATTGTCACACGTCCCTTGCGTCTGCCGTTCCAAATAAACATTTTAATCGATATCCAAATACATTAATTAATCCTCGTCTGGTTCGACGTATATCTTTTTCCTGTTTCTGGTCGGTATTTCCTCTGATAATAATTTCGAAACACCTATCAAATCGGTTTCTAATTCATCCGTGATTTTATTCAATCGGTTAACTTCTTTCCAATGAATATCCAGAGCCTTATTGCTAGGGCTCTGATGTAACTCAATATTTTTCTGAATCTGAGCTAAAATGAATCTCACACCTTCAATTAAATTCACATAATCATCTAAGGCAACATTCACTGCCAAGGTCCACTTGTCTCCAGTCAGTAGAATATCTCTATCTCGCATGAAAATCAACCCTGTCTCCGTTTAACTTGTGACACGATAGCTCCAAACACTTTGGTTGACGCATCGCAGACTGCAATAAATGGCTGCCCAAATTTTGGGTATATCAATAAAGGTTTCCTACTTAATATATTCTTCAACTCAGCAAAAGCAAAAGCTCGGATCCCCCTGTCGTAGGGAACATCTTTCTTAGTCAATTTCGTCAAAGGCTTTGCAATTTCTGCGAAATTGCAAACACGGCACCTGTAATACCCAGCTAGTCCTATAAAAGCACGAACCTCCATAACTGTACGGGGGGGAGGTAATGCCCCCTCCCAAATCATATAAAACACCTTTCTCTTTTCTAACCCAAAGAAAAAGTAACATTTATTAACTCAATAAAATAACATAATTGGTTGAATTAAATCTTGCCTACTTGCAATCACTTCTCCCCTCCACTGAGGTAATTTAGCCAGGCTGTGACGAACAGATCTCTACTTACAAAATATAGCAACTTTGTTGATGGTGAACATGGTGATGCGTGACACTTGTAGAGGTCTGTGGTCGGCCTGCTCCCTGTTGCCTGCCGCCTAGGTGTAGCGGCTGCCCCTGGAGGATGGATCGTTTATCTATCTCAAAGCACTTGTCTCGACTGTCAAGAAGTGTCTCTCATTCCTTTGTATATATCTTAAATACTCTCTGTTTTCCCCAGGCACATTGTAACAAAAGTTACAATTGGACGATCATCTTATTATCAGCTTTCGTTTTCTAAACTGACAAGCGATTGCTTGACATCATTCATGCGTCATAGGATATACGACTCATCGCCCCCTGACAATTATTCCAAGTGTCATCTTTAGTAATATTATTTGTCACCGCGACATCCGTCGTTAACCCTACTGCACAGGAAGTCGATGTGGTCTAACTTCCAGCTTTACTCGCAATGTGTTTTCCCATCCACATCCTACATCCTGTGATCTAGTTACACTTCATACAGTCTGCTTGTATACTCATACAAGTAATTAAATGATTACCAATATACAATCAATACTTATTTATTAATACCCTTATCCCTTNGTTTGTGAATGGAAGTGTTGATATTCGCCAGTAAATGTATGGCTTTGTGTTGCTACTCCCGAAGTACGGTCGGAGATACAGGATTAGCAGTTCTTCCGGTACATGTGTTAGATATGTCTCACCCAGTGGCATTAGAAGGGTCTATGAAGTACGCTAGTGAACTAGTTGAGAGATTTATTCGGAAGTATACGAGACTTAGCCCTGTGTTAGTAGGAGAACAGGGGTAACGTTCCCACCTCATGACTCAAGGTACGCGGGTTCAAACCCGGCGGAGGTCGTGGAATTTTTAAGGGCGGAAAAATTCAGGGAACAAGTCCTCCGGGAGGGACCTTGAGCCGTGGGTCCCGTGTCGTAGCTTTACGGCACGTAAAAGAACCTCATGTCTCCAAAGGAGGCCACTGAGCTAAATTAAGGACATTTCCCGCCCGACAGTAGTCTCTAACACCTCTGGTAGATGGGGGAAGCATTGAGATACCTCTGAGCCAGTAGAGGCCGACCTCGCTGGCTGAGTAGGGACTGATGGTAAGCACCAATACCGGTAGGGTATAGAGGCTGGTAGAAGATCATAGGGGGACGCACAATAGATCAAACTGGTCGCGGTGCATGGGGAAACCCACCCCCT